TATAATCGTAATCATAATATAAATCAAACAATAAAAAGAAGTGGATAGAAACTGTAAATTTTGTATCTATCATGAAAGATAATACTAGAGCATTAAGATTTAACATGATACACTTGACACATAATGAGCGAGTTGCACGTATACCTTAACGTGAGATGTGTGGCTGGTCGCAACGGACGAGGCAGGCTGTTGCTGTTCGTTGTGCAGGTTTTTACTTCAACTTTCACGGACTCTCATCGTCCTTCTCGCCGCTTCTCGTCCGCTTTCGCAGAGCAGAGGGTCTCTTCACTGGCTCATATCGTCTTCGCCGCCGCAATTGCCATCTGGAAAAAAATATCCGACTTGTTAGACTTTCTAGTTTCCTCTCTACGTTCGCAATAATAGTAATAACAATGATAATAGTAATAAGAGCAACGATATCTTTGTTTCAGTACGTGAAACATTTAAATGTCGATGTGCTGGTAGTGAAATTTAATGTTTCCTCTCTGGGACAGATTTCGTTTGAACCAATGAGAAAGAACGTACAGTGCGTCAAAGAAATCGCGAAAGAATGGGTTCCATAAAAGAAAAGCACTGCGAACAGTTGAGGGAAAAAGGAAGGAAAAGCGTTCTGGTATCGTGAGGGCACGCAACAGGAAAGATAAGGATTGTGGTGGATGAAAAATGATCGTTTTAAACTCCGATTCAGATTTCTAGTGTTCGCATAGGAGAATTGATACGGTTTCGCGACGGTGAGTCGCGCCAGCTTTCTTGGAATTGCCGGTGACTGGTGACCAGACGATCGGGGTGTTGCCAGCAACGTTGGTAACAACCAACCGACGTTCAACCTTGGCCCCGTGGCCCGATTCGTGCGCTAAACCATCCCGAGCTACGACCAAATGTCTTCTTAGTCGAAGGATCGCGGACGATAAGTCAATGTTTCCTTCCCTTAAAATTCTTCCAACTACGTTCCATTCCCATGCCTTTCTTTACTCCACGAAACTCGAGACGGTATTCCCTAAAAAAAATACTTCGACGAAGAAAAACGTCTTACCCTTTCGACTGAGTTCCATTCAACGGAAAAAATGGTGAAACTTCTCTCATTATTCTAATTCTCTCGGGACGGTCATTGCAAACTGGAGTGCTCGATCTTCTAAACTTCTCTAGGACATCGTTGGAAAGTTTGACTTTTTACTATAATTTATTTATTGGCCGACGCAAACAAATGGTTGACGCGACGACATCGTGGAATATTCAAAGCTAAAGAACAGAGTCACGGAACGCATTAACGCGATCGCGTGTACGGAAACCGTGTATGCCATGCCATGCGTTGATACGAGGAAACTTACTCATACGGCTGACCTATTCTCAACCCATATCCCTTAAGAATTTCATAAACGAACACCGCGAGCCTCGAATTAAAACTCGCTAATTGTATTTCATATGCTCAGACTCATTTACTATATTTTATCATCCTTCATCAGTAGATCGTGCATTTTCAAGCGAAATTAAATGTTAAAAAGTGTGTCTTCGATAAAACTTTCTTTTATCTTATAAACGTGAAAGATCTACACTATTAACGATTACGATGTTATATTCATTCATTATAATATTCTGTTATAATATTTCATATTCATTCATCGTTTACATTTGATATGGAATTGAGCAGCCCTCGATGGGATAAAATGACAGTATTTATTTGAACAAAGTTAATGCATGGTGTGGGTGTTTGCAAATAGGAATCGATAAGAATGGAGGGAATCGTCTCTCGAGGGTATCGTCGCGTCGCGGCCCATGTAGATTTACCTCTGGATATGTAATTACGCGATCGAAAACGAGAACTAGCAACATCCGACGTGTTATCGATCCAAGTTACTATTTTTACGTAGCCGTCCCTTTTCCGTAATAACATGAATAATTCTACGAGAACTGTTCGACAATTGACGTAACTGTTAAGTCGTCCTAACGCCTCTTCGATCAAACATCGCGTAATTCCCCGGTTCTTCATTTTGTTAATCAGTAGATAACAGGTTTAGAATTACAAGAGGAATGGATCGATACGAAAATGAAACAGTCGATGTCAAGTGAAGATTTTTGTATGACATTCTTCGAAATCTTGATTTATTTTAAAACAAATCATAATTGATTTCTTCAAGGCTTGTTAATAGGATCAGATTGTATTATTTCGAATTCTGCATTTACTTCTTTAATTAACTTACAGACGAACTCAATTTCTGAAATAGCATCTGCAGCATGCAACATGTTTTTTTTATCGAATTCTAATCGCGATCTAATAAACCTTAATTTCGTTTAATCCCGAAGGCCATCTCCGGTCAAAGATATCTCGACCGCGAAACGATTAGGCATAGAAATATCAAAGTGGCACGTGTAAGTACGCACTATGCGACAGTTTTGTACCTTGGCACGGTTTTCTTCGTGACGAATGCACTTAAAACGACGTGCATGCATACCTGCCTAACTATTGTATCTGCATAGTGTATCCCCACACGCACGCGCGTAACAGGTGCACACGTACTTGCACGCACGTGGTCAGCGTACTCGAGCGAACTCAATCATTTTTGCGACTATAAACTGAAGACTATAACGCGACTCATAAGAGGAGCGAGTAAAAAAGAGTCGAGATGAAGTGGTAAGAAGGCAAGAGAAAAATGTATAAACCATTTCACAAACATGAGGATGAGATAAAATATAGATAATAGTGTAACTCGTTCTTGTTTTATACCATTTCCCTCAGGAAAACCGATTAACAACAAAAATAGACATGAAATTCTCGGTTTGTTTGGAATGAATCAAACGACGGAGTAAATGATGTATATTTTGAACGAGAGAACTGTAATTTCGCGTGTGGTGGAGGCAACACTCACCCTGAAACAATAACGTTCTAACAGCTGTACGCAGATTGCAGGTGTTCGCCATCGATAACAGAAAGAAACGGAGAAGGTAATTTGCGTAGGCCTTGAGATGTTATGATCGCAACGACTTTGAAAATGTACAAACTGCGTGAGACACACATGACGAGCATTTGTACTCGCTGAGAAAACATCGTTTCATATTCAACGAGCATGCACTGCATTTTTCACTCAAAAAAAAAGCTGGTGATCAACGTCCGCCTGTGCATGAACATGCCCGATCTCCTTAATAGAGTTCAAATGACACATAAACGCAATAGTTATTTAGAAACATCTACTGAATTTTATAAGCAACTTTAAGTTTAATATTCGCATAGTATAAAACATTTGCGTTTTTTTTTATTGTGTGATTTTATTCATTTATCAACGAGACATGTTAGAATAAGTTTTACGAAGTAATTGTTAGAGAGGATAGATTTTGTGGAAGGGTTCACCGAGAACAGATGTTGGAGGAACGTTGATCGGCGAGCATAAGAAGTATCGTAAGTTCCATAAGTCAACGTGGGAACGATCGCAGCTGGTTGACCCCAGACACCAACAACTCTCATTGTAGACCCCCAAGACCTACTAACGCGTTCTTGTCGCGAAACGAATCCCGTTCGTGTAATAATAGAACGCGTGACGAGTGTCTAGCGACCGCATCAATCGGCCAGTTCTTGCCCCCACCTGGCGTTCGACTTACTTTTATTAACTAGCACGCATGAGCGTTACCCTAGTCTCGATTCAACCGCGTGGAAGAACTTTGACCAACTTAAGCCCTGTCTACCGTTTAACTTTCAAACAATTCTTTCGTGCCGGTCGTGCTCATTCTCCTACGACTGTTCCACCTGGAGACCACTGAAAAATGCAACGTACGAAGGCAAACAATCAACGCGCGGCTATACTTTTCGAGACACGACGCGATAACGAATGATGAATGCACTTCGTATCAGAGTGAAAGTGGATCTACCGTGTGAAAAACAACAGATATTTTTTCTGTATTTTGTTTACATGTTTTCAAAACTCATTATGATTCAGTTTCGATCTATCGATCTCTGTCAATAAGAAAACAACATTTCCTTGAATGTGTTAAATTCCTCAAAGAATTCGATCACCAATACGCATCGTAACTGTTCACTTGTTAACAACTGTTTGCACTCTGAACTTTTTTCAATCTTTTGAAATATACTTCAGGAAATAAAATCTGTTTAAGTAAAGGAAATATATTATACAAACTGGAAATCGTAGGGGAAAAATCAAGCCACGGTGAATGTAGAAGTGCAAAGCTTTAAAGTTACAACCTTGTAGGGATTTCGTTGTAAAGTACAAACGCGCGAGCGATAAAAATGAATGAGGACAGTTTACAAATAAAACGCGTAATATTTATTATGACCCGAGGAAGCGTGTTGCCGATACGGAAGTTATCAGAAGGAGACACGAGACTGCGAGATTTTATCGAGTAGACCAATAATTCTAACAACATACGAAACGAAATCATATCGATATCAATTGCGTCGTATTAAGCTACCGATTCGATCAAAAGATTGATTGAATTTTTGCGATCGTGTCGCGGGACCCCGACGAAATTCTCTTTAATCGTGTTTCGATAATCAATGATCGGTAATTTCATTCCTGTTTCTGATAGTGAATTTATGAAATATATATGACAGATAATATCATTTATTTCGGCCACTTGGGCCCAGAAGTAGACTAATACTATTGCCACACTTTTACCTCAACTTTATAAATTCCTAACAATAATAACAAAACAATTGCATTTCTATTTGTACATTTTCTTAAATTACCTCACTTCTGGTCTTTGGTCAACAATCTGAAATGTATATGACTACGCACATTTCTAAACCTCGGCTGAAACCAATTAGACGAATATCGATCAAAACCTCCACTCGAGACTTATTGAACAAAAGCGTTTATCCAAAATGAACTCTATAAATAGATTGAGTTTTACGTTAAGACTCGGTGATATCGATTTAAAAAATGACACTTATTGTTAGAATTTTTAATTAATTTTTTCAAGGTTCTTGAATCCAACTATTATTATCCAACTAAACATTTATCTGAGATATCAATTCTTATTGACTCGACCTCTATTTTATGAAGAATGCCCATGGCGATAAGTACATACTCGACATTGTAAACGGAGAGATATCGAGCTTCTAACGTCACGTTAATGCGACTTCATCTTTTTATAGTTCACTCTAGTTTTGTGCATCCTCGTATCGTATTAATTACATAGAGATAATACAAGAGTAGGTGAGCCATACGGTCGCGTGTAAATGGAAATGGTATAAGTATAGAAAAAGAGAAAAGATCAATGTAACGATGTTATCTCTCTTGAATGACTTGAATTCAAGCGTCACTACCCCCATTTGTTCTCTCTCACCTGATCTTTTCTCTCTTTCTAATGCGTTCCC